AATCTTTTTTTTTTTGGAGACAGAGTCTTGGTTTCCAGCCCAGGCTGGAGTGCAGTGACATTATCTCAGCTCACTGCAACCTCTGCCTCCTGGGTTCAAGTGATTCTCATGTCTCAGGCTGCCAAGTAGCTTGGATTATAGTCCCATGCCACCATGCCTGGCTAATTTTTGTATTTTTAGTAGAGACAGGGTTTCACCATGTTGGCCAGGCTGGTCTTGAACTCCTGGCCTCAAGTGATCTGCCTGCCTCAACTTCCCAAAGTGCTGGGGTTACAGGTGTGAGCCACCTCACTGGCCAATGTAAACAGAACTTTCCGTCAGCTTTCTAATGCCCCACTCTTACATATTAGTGGATAGCCAAGGATATCCAGACTTTTAAGAAAAGCTTCCAACACAAAACAGAAACAAAGACTTAAAAATTCAACACAGACAATTCAAGAAACAAAAGAAAACATTAGAAATAATTTTAGAATAATCAGATACTGCAACCACCAAATGGAACAGACTGCTATATTTAAAAAGGGGAGGAGGGTGGACAAGAAAGTGCTTCCCTGGAGGACATTATGCTAAATGGAATAAGCCACGCACTGAAAGACAACTTCACGTGATTCCCAATGTAGAATCTAAAACAAACTCAGAGAATAGAATGATGGTTACCAGAGAGTAGAGGGAGGAGATATTAGGAGAAACCGGGAGATGTTGGTCAGAGAGTACAAAGTTTCAGTTAGACAAAGGGAATACATTTTTTCAGATAAATAGTATAGCATGGTTAATAATAGTGTATTGTATATGTCAAAATTGCTGAAGGCAAATTTCAAGTATTCTCACCACAAAGAAGTATTTGAGGTGATGGATATGTTAATTAGCTTGATTTAATCTTTCCACATTGTATACATATAACATCACTTTGTACCCCATAAATATATCCAATTTGTACTTGTCCATTTACAATAAAAGTTTACAAAACTAATAAATGTTTTTTAATTATAAGAGAGGTTGACAAAAAAGTGCTCTGGTACACTTAAACCATGATAACAAAAATTTTCAAATTCAAAAGAAAAGCTGCAAGGTGGAAATCTTTCAGAAAAACAAAAAGAAGTAGAAAACAGGGAAGAAGAGATAAAATTATTTCAGGACAAAAGTTGTGCAATAGGTTTAGAGAACAGCTAGTCCAGAGTGCAGGATGATGGGCTCCTAGAGAGTTGTCTCCAGTTTTAAAAATAAACTGAGAGACTACTTGATGTGTTTTCAATGTTTTGAGAGGAGAATTTGAGATAAACTGATTATAGACACTAGAATGCTAGGTACTTCAGAAAGTTGCATGGAGAAAGAGGCAATGGTTAACCTCAAAGAAAGGAAATGTAATCATACTATGCTAGTTGGACCAATTATATACCTTTATAATAGTATAATGAATAGTACCCTACCTATATAGGGTGATACAAATTGAAGGACGGAAGATGGAGAAATAATATATGTATGTATTAGCAGTCGTTAGAGTATAAATATATATCTTATTTCCCATAACAAAAAGTAAAATAATGTCCCAAACTGAAAAATTAAGAACTAGTAGTATAAGCAGGCTATTTAGAAATTTGGAGATAAATCCCAGAAGAGATAGCTGGGAGAAAAAAGATTAGATCTAGGGAGTAGAAACTGAGTGTAGAGGACTGGAACAGAGTCTACTGTTTTTCATTATAAACCTAGTGATATTATTTGATTTATTAATGTAATAATAAAAATCTGATTAATGTGGTACTTCATTTATTTGAAAATTTTAGGAGGAAGGACTGTTTTCATTAAGTTTTTTTTTTTTTTTTTTTTTTTTTTT